GGCCAAATTCAGGAACTTAGTTATAACCATATTGAGTATTAGATGTCTGTTGGCCTTCCATGTGGAGATATCAAGTAGGTTGCTGGATGTACACGTCTGGATTTTGGAAGAGAGGTGTGGCTGGAGAAATAAAGGTGGGAGCCAGCATAAAGAAGGTATTTGAAGTGTCAAGACTGATTGAGTTCACCCAGGTTAGAGTCCACTACCTTCAGTCTGTTCATTCTTTTTCATCTTTGAGGATCTGCTTGTAGATCAAAGTCCAGTGTCTGTATCCTCTGCCCTATGAAGTCTTGTTCTACTCTCTCATGATGCAGGGTCACTGTACTCCCTTCCTACTGTGCTATATTTGCCATATTGGATTGCAGTTGCTTTTTTTTTAAAATGTTTTTCCCTTTCCAATTAGACCAAAGTTTTTTATAGGACAAGCACCATGTCTTATTTGCCTTTGTAGTTTCTGTTATATTAGATGCTCAATAAAAATGTCTTAACTGAATGATGATGGACTGATTCAAAATAAGTTCAGGTGTCCATGTCCAGTACTTTGTAACTGAGAAAAAGCTGTATGCACCAAGTATGCCTGACTGTACTTGAAGGGTATTGCCTTTCTATCATGGCCTCCTTACTGAGATAGAGTAAAAGTTGGGTGCAATAAATAATATTTATGTTTTTAAGATTTCTTTGGTATCTATATATATTAATAAAAGCCAGACTTTGACAATATGATAACTTGAAATGTTTCTGTTTTGCATACCATGAAACTGGAAAAAAGACCATTAGATATAATGCATGTTATTTTTATTTGTTTTTAAAACTATTATTTCTTTGTTTTATTGTATTAGCAAATGAAATAAACTGTCCACTTTCTATTGTGAGTTATCCTTCAGTTACTTTGATGTTGCATATTTTATAGATTAGCCTGGTCAGAAAAATAACCAGATAAATGTTCTGAATTCCAAAGATGTTTAATCTGATTTAAATTCAGTCTCTGGGGATCGGAAATAGAATATATTTTTCCTTAAAAAAGAAGTTTACTTATCATATTTTGTGTCTGTAAAGCATAATGAAAATAACTAATAATTTTGCTAGCTAGAGATAATCACCATTCTATTAGTACTTAGGTGTGTTTTTCTAATCTGTTTTATACATATATTTTTATAAACTTAGAATAAAATATACATACAGCATTATATTTTGCTTTTACTTGTAATATATCTTTTTTACTATTTTTCTGATAGATATTTTATGAGACATGATTTTTAGTGTCTTAAAAATATTCTGTGATACATATACTGTGACTTTAAAATATTTCCCTTTTATCATTTGGGTTATTTCTAAATTTAAAAATAGTCATGAAAGGAGATTACTGTGTAAAAGGCAATGAGCCTTTTTAAGGCTTTTGATAAATATTTCTCAAGTGTTCGCTAAAAGGATTTTAACAAATTTACATTTCTATCAAAAATTTATGAGAATTTCTATTTCCATGTAGTTCTCTAATAAGTTATTAAATATAATTTTTTGCTAGTTTTCAGTGGTAATCAAATATAGCTTTAAAAAATAGTTTAAAATATACATTTCCTTGATTTTGGAATTTTTCTATTAATTGTATTATTTTTGTGTGTGATTTGTCTGTATATATCCTTTGACTTTTTTCTGATGGAATATAATCTTATTTTTATTGATTTGTAAAAGTTATTTTCATATCAGGTCAACATATAAAATCATTTTTGAAGGTCAAAAACAGTTGACTATCACCAAATTCATATGGTTCAACTTAAAATTTTGTATTTTACGTTGGTTGCCAATGTTTTCCCAGTTAGTCTTTTGTTCTTACTATGTTGTATTCTTAAGCCTATAACAAGTTTAAAATTTTTCTGTGGTTTAATTTAGAGGTCTTTTCCTTTGTAGTGTTCTCAGTTGCTTTCTTGCAGCAAAAGTTCTTCCCATACCAAAGGAAGATAAATATTTTTGTAGTTTCATATTTTAAAATTTAACTTTCAAAGTCCATCTGGAACTTTATTTTAATGTATTATTAAGGCAGGGATCTGTTTACTGAGTGATGAAACAATTACTTACAGATTCTTAAACACAACTCTGTTGTTTAATTTCATGCCTCATTGCTGAAATCACAAAATAATTATGTGTTCTAGGAATATAACATCACTGAACTTGATTCTTCATAAGGTTCACTATTCTGGTTCTTTGAGTTAGTGGATGTGCTTCAAAAACCATTAATAATGCAGACTTTAATTTTGTCAGTGTTAACTCTGATGTTAAGATGGACAAAATAGGGAACATGATGCTAGATTTAATTGATGGTCCCTTTTAGCATAAAATTCCATCATTCACAGAACCTTATTTAATAACCCATGTAGACAATATTATTACATAAAATATTTATTCAGTAGAAATAATTTTTTAAAAATCTTGATGTGTTTTTTCTCTTCATACTTAAATTGGGCTTAACTTTAGGAGCAATATAAATATTTTCGAAGTTATTCTTTGCATGATGAGTCAAAGTCTTTGTTCATCATAGGTGTTTTAGACAGAAACTCCCCTGATTTATTCTGAAGTTTTTAGAGCTTATTGTCGTATACCTGTCGAATAAAAAATGTAATAAAATGAATTAATCTATGGTGTACATTTCTGTGATTTGATTAAATTATATGCAATGGCTCTGATGCCATTGATTTTTAAAAAACTAAATTGCTTAAGTTCCGTAATTATTTTAGCTATGCAGACCTTCTGGTGATATTTATTAAGTTCTTTCAGTGAGGGAAGACAGCGTGGCTCCTCCCTTTTACATTGAATTCCTCAAATACCAGTAAAAAGGGTTTTTGGAGAGTCTGAAGAAATACATGAATTTCCTATTATCCAAACTCTTCCTATCTGAATTCAGAAACTTAATAGGTTCAGATGATTTTTTAGATCAATTTCTTATATCTAAATTGTTGCTATTTGCTGTGTAAAATAATGGAGCAAAACTGATTTAGTAATAAACCATCCAACTCAAAGATCAAATACATTTAGATAGGGAGGGCTACTTGTATTGGGTCATGCTAGCTTGCCTATATTATGAACTACTGTAAGGATGAATTGGTAATGCCCATTTGAATTCAAAGAACTGATGATGTCCACATTCTTTGAGAAGTTAGCCAGAAATCCTCCCTTTAGCGTCCTAGGGTTTCCTGAGGACTTACGGGGTTCCTAGACCTTTGTGGGGCTAGTTAGAATGGGGAACAGACTACAATCACAGCTTCGAGGGAGCAACTGTTTGCCCTCTTGAAATGGGCTTGTTAAGAGCTAAGAAGTTAGGCTTTCCTTGGTCACTAGCTGGCTTCAGTTGCCTATAAGGAAAGGTTCAAGACTAAAGGTCCACACTTTATTTTAGGAAAATACCTTCATTTTGGGGGTATTTATTTTCTGAGGTAAATGGCAGAACCGACAAAACTTAAAGACTTTTGGGCATTATCTAGTCTTAACTTCACATTTTGGTGATAAAGAACCTTTAGGAAGACTTCATCAAGTTGACTCAGCTTCACAGGGACAGAATCAGAACTAGAACTCAAGTCTCCTATCTCCTAGTCTTGTTCTTTAGCTGTTGAATCAGTGGTATCAGTCTATTTTTGTATTTACCTGATGTCACATCACAAGGTTATGTGGCACTGGTTGTACCTGAGCCAGCCCTGGAGAAGGTGTGTATAGGAATGTTGTGTTTAAGGGAGGTGGTGAAGTGGATACTGGTGGCCACCTTTTGAGAAGGACTGAGCAATAGTTGTATCTATTATCAATCTACTTGAGTTTTAAGATTAATGAGATGACTACTTGCCATGACCTTGAGTTGGGCAGTTTAAAAATTTTTATTCACTCTGAATAAGCCTAGATTCTTATATGCCTTATCTGCTGAATACCTTATCTCCTTTTTTTTCTTCAAATGAACAGAAACTTTTAAAAAGTCTTTTTTCTCTCACATATTTTTCCATTATTTTTGATTAATATCTAACTATGAGAACAGGGTTGGATTTTTTTAAAATTAAAGATTACTACAGAAAGCATAACAAACAAAAATTAGACATAATCTGTTATATATCACCTCAAAATAATTTACGGCAATGTTGAATTTTTTTCTTCTGGGAAATTTAGGGAGGAAACAAATACAATATTCATTTCAGCTGCTTTTTATGGTATGCTCAGAAAAACACATTTTTGTTTTTTAAAAAGGCATACTAAAATTATTTATAATTTATATATTACGGCTAGTTTCTAGAGTAAAACAGACATAAGGGAACCTAAACCAGAAGGAAGAGTGAAAGAATGGGGGAGGAAAAGAGATAATCAAGATGAGAAGAGTGATAGAAAAAAAGTGAGCTACTAAGTGAGGCAATAGGCTGCTTCTATCTAAGAGTGAGGAGAACAAACCAGTGGCCACTTGAATAAGAGAGTGTGTGAGGGAAGCCATGATGGGTAGACCTGGGGAAAGAGGGCAACATGAATTCCAAAGGTAGAGAGAAGGAAAAGGATGGGAAGAGAGCAGGGGCACTTTTTTGGCAAGGACTCCTGTGGCTTCCCCTAGTAACCACCTTCATTATTCTGTCCTTTGGATAGTCCTGTGCCTCGTCACTGGTCTCTAGACAGCCAGCAGCCCAGCTCCTTGTCTTGATCCTTTGTACCTCTACAAGTGTTGCTCACATGTTTATTATGAATCCACCAAGTGGTAGCTGGTGTGAGGGTTAAAAACAGTACTTGAAAAGCTCTGAGAGCAGTATTGGCCATGTAGTTAGGCCCCCAGAAGTGATAGCCATTATAATAATTGTTTTTGCCCCCTCTGTAATGAATCTTAACTTTGGGAGTACTTCTATAAATATAAATTATATTTTAAACATTTGAGTTGGGCTTTGAAGTAAAACTATAGAAATAGATATGTAGTCATTTACTTGATAGTATGTTAAAGCTGAATTGAGTAAAAATGTAGTTGGTCAATCATTTTCTCTTTCTTATTGTAGTGATTTAAAGGGAGTGATAATCACTCTGAGTGATGATGGTCACTTGCAGTGTTCATACCTGGGGACAGATCCTTCTCTGTTCCAAGCTCCAAAAGTGGAATCTAGAGAACTAAACTATGATGAACTTGATATAGAATTGAAAGAACTTCAGAAAGTCATTAAAGATGTTAACAAGTCACAAGGTATGTCATTTGAAGCTTTTATGTTATTTAATTTTAGTAGTCATAGTAAAATCCACATTATCTTGTGTATGAATAATGTTTTGTATGCATTAGTTAATTTTCTCTTCCAGACTTAGTCATATTTGTAAAAACATACTCTGTCTCACATGAGGTCTTTGTGTTTACTTTGTATGTGACAGCTTCTGAAAATATGTTCTATTTGTGATAACGCTTTTGTTAACGTTTTTCAGAGACAGAGACAGCACTATCTAGTTTTTTTTTTTTTTTAACTCTAAGAAAGAAAGAAATACTTCTTTGAGTAGTGATTTTAGGCCTTGAAAAGAACATTAAAGTTTAGAGTTGTCATTTATTTTTTTATTTTTTATATTTTTTGAGTTGGAGTCTCACTCTGTCACTCAGACTGGAGTGCAGTGGCAGCTCCTGGCCACTACAGCCTCGACCTGCTGGGCTCTGGTGATTCTTCCACCTCAGCTTTCCAAGTAGTTGGAACTACAGGCCCGCGCTACCACGCCCGGCTAATTTTTTATTTATTGTAGAGATGAAATCTTGCCAAGTTGCCCAGGCGGGTCTCGAATGCGCGGGCTCAGGCAATCCACTCACCTCGGCCTCTCAAAGCACTGGGATTACAGGCTGAGCCACCGAGCCCGGCGGAGTTGTCATTTATTAACTTGCAATATTTCTGAAAACTTTAGTTGTATCTTTTAAGAGAAACCAGAGCAGCACACAAGTTACCATTTTGTTACCAAAAATGTAGTCATTTGGAATTTAGTGATATAATTTTTTTGTAGTTAATTAGGTGTTCAAATGGTGTGTAGCTTGTGGTATGCTGATTTTTAATGACTCAGAGTTTGATGATATTTTCAGTTCCTGAGTTTTGAATAGCTCAATATTGTCTTTATTTGGGACTCACAAGGGTATAATTTTATTGTAAATTAAAAGAAGAAACAAAACACCAATCTTGCAGTTTGAGTTGGACATGTGAAAAGCATTACTTTAAGTTCCCTTTTCAGGGTCAGGTAAAACTATTTTTTTAATGAGAAAAAATACGGACTACTTTTACAGAAAAGAAATGTTACAACAAGTAGGAATAATAAAAGAAGCAAAGCATCAAAAGCCAACCAAAACAAGAGAGCCCATCTTAATACTGATTCAATCACTTTATTAGATTTATGTATTTTTGAGTCTGTGTTACCGGGATTGTATCCCTCTGGTTCTGAGGAATTGAGATAATTATTTTAAAAATATGAATATTAAAATAGTTATTATGCTTTGGCTTCACACGTTCTTATAGAAAGTTTTGAAAGTAAACCAGTGAAACTAGGGTCTTTTAAGTACCTCTAGTTACTTAAAAGCCTCTTTGTTGTCAGTACCCCCATGTCAAATAGAGAATGGTTAAAATTGGATGTGTCACAGTGTGATAAATTTTTTTTTCAATTTTTGACACTGGCATTCTTGAGATTAATAGAATTGTCAGTCTCATTTTGTCATTAAAAATATAATTGGATATATATATAAAAATTGGGGAAGAGCGAAATATATATGAAACATAAAGTTTCTAGAGTTTATTAGATAATCTGGCTTTTACTCCAAATTTTGTGTCTTAAAAGTTTGCCTTTTCCATGAGCAATATGCTAATGATATTTTGATTAATATTAATTATGTATGAAATTTCTAAGAAAATCCTTTACAGCTAAAAGTTATTTCTTGGTGACTGTAGTGAGAAGGTTAGGCTGTTTTACTTGTTACCTTGATCCTTCTAGGTATCTTGGAATAATTGCCAATTAAGCTAAGGATGTATCCACAGACGTAGGTGCACAGTTCATTATTAACATAACCTCAGATTTTAGTTAATGTTTGAAGTTTCTTGCCCCTTCTTTGTCACCATCATTTTTTTTTCCTGAGAAAGAAAAAAAGGGATGTTTTAAAAATATTGTATTAATAGATGTGGAAAAAAATGTAGTATCCTGTATAGGACTGTGGTATGTTTGTTTATTAAAATACCTATAATTATATAAAAGCACCAAATTATTTCATTAAAGAACATTATGAGAAGTTAAAACTCTTAACTTTTTGATGACCTCATTATTCATCTAAATACCACTTATTTTAGTACAGTGACTTTAACTTGCAAAAAAGTTCACAGTCTTGTGGGTACTTAAAGCTTTTAAAATTTTTTTCAAAGTAGGAGTTGCAGCAAAATTTAAAGCCAATATAAGGAGTACATTTTGTTGTACACATGGAGTATATTATCTACTGTAATAAAAGTGTTTTTGAAGCAGATTTTATGTGTGTAAGTTATATGAGGAATGTATACTGTAAGCATGAAATCATAGTAATAATTTCTGTATGGCTCATGGATTCTGAAGCTTTTCATACTCAACTCATTAATGTGACTCTGCTTAGCATTTTTGTTACCAGTGGTCAGCAACATCTACTGGTAAGAACTTTCAAAAACAGAGTTTTCTTATGATTTAGACAGTTAATCGTGTTCTTACCTGGAGTGGGTATGAAAGACTGGATACCACATTGAGGTAAGTGCCCACACAGTTGTGCTTTCAGGAAGGGACAGAGAGCAGTAAGACAAGGGGACATAAATGAAAGTCTGTACTCCATTTGAATTATGTCTGGAATAACTAACTTGACGGTACCACTGAATTCTAGAAATACTTGTTTTTGGTGACCTTGTTTATATATGGCTATGTCTGACTGCATGTAACAGAATACTACCCAAATAAGGTGGCTTAAACGAGGTAGAGGTTTATATCTTTCTCTTGCAAAAGAAGTCCAGTGATGGGCAGTCAAGTGTTGGCTTGGCCATTGCACAGTCTTCAGGGACTCTGATTCCTTCTATCCCAGGGTCATCTATTGGTCCAACATGGCTTTTGGAACTTCTGCCCTCACATCTGCAGCTGAGTCAGCCCCCTTAAGGAGCTTTCCTGGAAGCCACACCCTGAATAGCTCCTACTTACGTCTCACTAGCCATCCAAGATGCAAAACAGGCTGGGAGACTAAGTGTTTTAGCTGAGTACTTTGCTGCTCAGAATGAAACTGGGCTTTAAATAAAGAATTGAAGAATGTTTATGGGTGGGCATTGAGCAACCTTTTGTACTCTCACTAAGTAATGAAAATTCTCATTCTAAATCTTGCAGTATGGTTGGAATGCCTGATGGCAATTGTAGCCATTTCTTATTTTTGTGAGACAGCTGATTGATGTGGCATCATCCATGTGCTTTCCCTATTTTCAGTCAGCCATTCTCAGTGTGTGGGGTTGTTTCTTCTCAGGGTCACAGGGTGACCTCAGCAGGTCCAAGCATTATGTACATATATGATTTCCAGGGAAGAAGTGGGCTATTTCTCCTGAGTCTCCCTTCTTATTAGGGAGGAATAACTTTTTTCCCTGATAAGAAGACTGTGCCAGCACTCCTCACTCTCAACATCTCTTATTTCTAATCTGCCAGGATTAAGTCCCATGTTCATACCTAAAAACAACAAATGGTCAGTGGAATGGAGTCATCATGATTAGATTGCACTCTGGGGCCTGGGTAGGGTGACTTTATCAGAGGTAAATGTGAATACCCAACAAAAATAGGGCTCTGTTGTAAAGAGGAAGAGGAAAGAATGGATGTTGGAGGCAGAATTATGTGGTATATGTAATATAATAGGCAACCAAAGTCTGTTATATATATGTGTGTATAAAATATGTGTATAAATATTATTTATTTTTCTTATTAAGAGCTCTTGTTTATGTGTCATCATGCAATGTAAACATGCTTAAAATTGTGAAAATAACATGAATGTGGTAAAAATAATTCAAACAGTATGAAAGGGCAAATAATAAAACTTGGATCTTCCTTCAACCCAACATCCCAGTTCCACTCCTTAAAGACAATCAGTATTAAGAGTTTTTGTCTATTCTTCTAGAAAACATTCATGTTTATGTAATTGTTTTTATGCAAATATGTGCATATTAGGCACACTATACTACATGTTGCTTTTTAAAAATTAATAGATATGTCATGACATTTTTTCATGTCTGTTTATAAAGATTGATGGCACTCTTATTTATAGTGTTGGGTCATTGCATAGTATAGATATATCATAATTTATTTAATGATTTCCCTATTAATGGATATATAGATATTTTGATTGTTTTCATTTAAAAAAATACTAACAGCAGATAATCTCTTTGGGCATGTTTATGAGTATTAGACAAGTTCCTGGGAGTAGAATTAAGTCAAAGGATAGTACATTTTGTATTTTGATAGTTATACCCAATGTACCTTCAAAAGAGTTATACTAATTTGGGCTTCCATTAGTAGTTAAGGAAAGGGCATTGAAATTCCCAATACGGGTCAGTCAGTGACTCACATCTTAGATAATATAAGAGAAAGAGACTTAAAACAATTTTTTTTACACAATATTGTAGAGGCAAGGAATTAGCATCAAGCTTCTAATATTGTAATGCATTCGTTTTTTCAACTTGTGAGTGTATTTATAAGTGTTTATGGATATAAGGTATAGATAAACCCTTGAAGAAAAGCCATATACAGCAAGTTTTGTATTATGATTAAATATCTTTTTTTTTTTTTTAATGACAGGTGTTTGGCCCATGACTGAGAGAGAAGATGACTTGAACGTTTTTGCTGTGGTTTCTCCTAACTTTGATTCAGTGTCTGTAGGTGTATTTGTAAATTTTAAAAGGGTCTACAATAGTTGCACAAAATGAGATGAATTGAGATCAAAATGTGTTGGTTTAAATTTTGGTCCTCTAGATAGAAACTTCAGGCAGGGTAACACGTTTTATGCCTTCTTACTTTCTGGATAAAAACATTGGTAGCCTCTTAGTGTCAGTAAGGAGCTTCTTGGGCAGGGTTTCTGTTGAAAAAAGAAGTGTTGGAGGGAAGGAGAGCAGTAGAAGGGTTTCTTTCCCTTGTTCCAACTCTACCTATTTAATTTTTTAAAAACTTTCTCAGTACTGTAGTATTGAGATAATACTAATTCAGCTGAATGATACTGACTCCACTAGATTTTTGTTGAAGGTTCAATAAGATAATGTTTGTGAGTGGTCTAGCTCAGAGTTTGATGATTTATAGTTTTCAACACATTATGGTGGTGGTGGTGGTGGTGGTGGTAAAGTAGTTTAAGAGAAGATAGTTGGTCCAGGAATTATTTTTCCCCTATGTCTATCTGTGTGACTGAAGGCAAGGTACTTAATCTCAATTTTCTCATCTGCAAAATGGGAATTACAATAGAGACTGCTTTGGTGAATTGTTACAATTGCTATGATTGTCCTTATCAGCAAATTACATTTTACTTCTTCCAACATTATCATCATCATCATCATCATCATTATCACGACCATCTATATACCACTGGTTGTCTTGTTCACTGCTGTGTCCTAGTCCTTGCCAAATAATGATGTTCAATATATATTTGCTCTATGAATGAATGAATACAACTGAGAGACAGAAAGGATGAAAAGGGAACTGTTCTTGGTTTTATTACTCCATTTCTTTGTTTAGTCTTCTAAAAGCACCTTTTAGGGTGTGATTGGCAAAATCTATTACGTTTATTTGTGTTTATTAAAAGTTGATCAATGTAGAGACGTGATTGAATTCATTCATTTTACCTTTTTGGGGGTTTATATCATATAATTCTGTCTGGGAAATGTCTTTGATATTTAGTTATCCTAGAGCATAATATAATAACTAGTTGTCATGAGCTTTTAAAGATTAATTTTAGTATAAACAGCCAATCCAAATTGTGATAAAAATCATATTAATATTGCTATAGTATAGTAAATTGGGTACACATAGAAAAGTAGGACTACATATGAAAGAAACATTCTCAGCTGAGTCACATAGTAGAGGCACTGTTTTGAACATTGGCTATTCAGCACACACTGTTTTTCACTCTATCTGAAGGCTGTAGTTTGACTGGAACATTTCTGCTTAGTTAGCTGACAAATGTACACACGTTTTCTTGCTGTGGAAATGACTCTTTTTTTCCCTTGGGCAACTTATATAATTTTTCCTAGGTGCTCTTACATGTAGGCTATTTAGAATGAGGAATTCCCTTTCTGTTCTTTTGAAACTTTTGGTCTTTGTAGGAAAGGTTCTATGTAGTAGCACTATATTACAATGTGTATTTCCCTATTGGTAGCCATGAGTGCTGTTTTTTCTTAACTAGGCGTCTCTTTCCAGCTTTATTCTCCCCGTGTTACTATTTTTTTTTTAACTTCTCAAGAGATTTCTTGAGACTATCATATTCATTCCATTGGAAAACACTAGGCTTACAATTTATGTGGCTGTGGTGCCATGATGTCTTTTTGTAGCTATTTCTCTCTGGCTATAGTATTATGTTCCCAAGGGACTGCTATCCTTGAAGTATCTAGATGTTTAGACAGGAGTGAAAAGAGCAGGAAACAGGAGATGTTAATTTCTCTTCTAGATCTGTGGACAGTCAAATGTAAAACACTTCCTGGATTTTAGGTATTACTAGAACAAAAATCCTGGATTAATATTTTACTCTGAATCATTATGATGAAAGAACACATAAAAAGTAATGTAACTTATATTAGAATGGAGTCTTTTATAAAGGAGATAAACACTGCTATCCCATTTTGCTGATTGAGAAGCTAGATCAGAGTTCAGATATGGTTTCCTGTGGAGCCGTAAATAGAATATAAGTCTCTCACCTCTTATTTCTGCTGATGCCCATTACATCATAGTGATCCCCATTGCTTAGAAGTGGCTTAGTTTTTCTTCATTTAAAAAATTTTCACATAAAAAAGCACAATGGATCATATTCATTCGTTGGCTAGAGTTATTTTGATTTTAATCATTCCCCAGGAATTCATATGGGTATTATTAAAAATATGTTACCCCTTGGTCTTATTCTATCATAGAGGGAGAAGTTTTTCCTCCCAATATGCTACTCTAAAAAAATAGTTTATAAGGTATAAGGAAATGTTTGATTCATTTTATTATACTTATGTGTTCTTTAAGAGGTAGGGCCAGATAACTCAAACTGATACTCAAAAGAGTGCTTCTGAATTAGTTTATATGCACTGGTTAAAAAAAGTACACTTCCACTTTTATTTCCTTGGTAAAAGGCCACTTAATCTCTGAATCATTAGTTGCATATATTTAGATACGTGTTATTAATCAGAATAAAACATACCATTGGCTTGTTGAAAATACAAGGTCCTTAAAGAATGACATAATACTTATTTGGGAAATACAAAGAGTCCTTCTGTATAATATAAATAACATGTTAATAAAATTAATACTTTGAACATTTAAGTGAATTTGAAGATAGAGTGGTTTGATAAAATATGTGACCTCTTTTTTTTTTCTTTTCATGGATATATTTTTGATTAGTAGCTTATGACTTTCCAGATGAAGGTATCCAAAGAACCTCATTGTCTTTTAGAGTGATAATTCCTGTTTGGGTGGTGGGAAGTATACATTTCACTTACTGTGTTCACTAATTGCTAATTATTTCTTGCCTTTTAAATTCTGTGTTTACAGCAAGCAACTGATGCTGAAGTAGGAACTGACCCTGTCCCTTCTGTCACAGTGAAGGTATTGTACCAAGTTTTAGACTGTAATGTGCAAAAACTATTACATATTTCACCACTTCTGTCACTGATGTTACCTTGTAAGTAGCTTATGGAAATGTAAAATAAACACTTGACATTTGCAGGTTTTCCTCAGTCTTGTGGAATGAATAGAAAACCTTTACTGTTACCTACAAATATAAAACTGATAATTGCATTTAGAACAATACATATATAATATACACAAGTATTATGACTCACTTCTATCATTGTTTAAATGTGGAGCATGATGCAGGCTCTTTTTTCTAGAAATAAAAAATTATTGTTTAAAATCTGCTAAATAATCAAAGACAAAATCATGGGCAAGGAAAAAAAAATTCTGCCAAAGAAAATATGTCATCACCATTCATAGTAGACCAATCAGTTACTTACAGCATCATACATAGTGCATTATGAAATGATATTGGAGAAGAATAGGAATACTAAAATATCTTCCATGTATGATTATGTGTGTGTTTGAGAAGAATTCCCAGCCATCTCTCTGCTATAACATTAGCTTTAAATGGATGTATTTATAGCAAGAAAATGTTAAATGAAGAAGCCACAAAGTAGAATAATGACAAATTGATAGTTCTGGAAAAATAGAATATGAAGGATGTGGTTTTGGTTAAGCATTTCAATCCTGTCATTGTAGAATTTTAGAACTAGAACTCAAATGTAGAACCCTCTTAGGGCGTTTAGATTAAAATGTGGTAATCAGTCAGCACATTATTAAGCTGAAAATATTTATCACCGCCCAGACTTTGGAAGCCAGGGAAAGTTGTGGATTTTGGCGATTCACTTAGTCAAAACTTGGACAGGGCTTTTTATTTTCTTAGATTATGGGTTGCTGTCCTTGGAGGAGCTTGACAGGGCACCAGGCTTTACCAATTGTGTTCGCTTACACTGGACCCAGCGGGTGGCCCAAGTGTGGAGATCTTTGGTTGAAGTTGAAGGGAGCCCAATCTTACAACGGTTTTCTGAGCTAATTTTTTTGGATTCTTGCCACTGGAAACAAGGGTGGTCTTTCCCCAGTCTGCCTTCTCCCTATCCAATTAAAGGCTCTATCTTATTAATACTTTTGAGTCTGGAAGGGTACTAATGGCAAGAAATCAAACACTTAACCAAAAAAAAAAGACTTTAGGTTTCAGTAATGATCTATACTTTTGTGTAGAAAAACCTTTTATATCTTTCTATTGATAATGTCCAGACACATATATATAATAATTTAGAAGCACATTGTAAACTATAAAAAGAGATATTGTACCTTAACCAGAAAAGATTGCTCATGCCATTCCCCTGCCCTACCCAACCAGGAGTTATTGCTATAAGCAAACACTCTTTTCCTTTCATGCAGTTCTTAGGCTTTCATGTGTAATAGCCACCTTAAAGTGATGGCATGACACTACTGGAAAATTCTCCTTCATTTGTGGAATTTACTGTATATGTATTTGAGAATAGCTAACTCTCATTGCCATTATGAAGCATGAGAAGGAATGTGACACAAAGGGGTTGCACAAAATTGGCTGGTCTCACACAACAGACACAATGACTTCCTGATTCTGCCTGACAGTTTCTATACAAATTTCTACTATAAATCTCTCCTTATGGCTTTTTATAACAACAGCAGCCAAGATATATAATCATGCAAGTTTCCATCATAATAAATCCTGTTAATTGAGAAAATTTTTCCATCCGTTCCAAGTGAATGAAGATGTGGCTACCCTAAGTATGTGTGCACGATGCATGACCATCTATTCCAGGCATCTAGGCAGAGTGGTTGTTCATACCAGGGCTTTGGAGTCAAATTTATATATCTAGTATAGAAATTTGGTATTATATTTCCTAAGGATAATATTTCATTTTGTTAGAAGTGGAAAATATCATGGAAAATTCTCTTATTAACATTTTATATTTTCTCCTTAATATTCTATAATTATTTTCATCTTAAAATATGAGTTTTATGATCTAGCCAAGTCTGTAAGTTGTTTTTTGGCTCAAACACAGCTATTCTTTGTTACTGTAGTTATTTCCGCCACACATCTCCTTGATTCACGATGTGAAAGTGCCTCAACTATTGTTTGGTTCAAAAAACCGTATGAGAGGTATCATGATTGTACATCTAAGTTGAATGCAAACCTTTCTTGTAACAATAAAATTGTATGATTGTTGTCTAAGTAGACATCATTATGCCAGGAAGAGTCAGAAGGTCTGCTCTTTTACACATGACTTATTACTCCTGTAAGGAATTTTCATTTTCACTTTTAAAATTGAGCTCTCATGGGCTTTTCTGGTCACAGTTTTCAACTTTCTAGTTGGGTTGATGATCTTGGGCATGATTTACTGTTTCTGAACCTCTATTTTTAAAACTGTAAATGGGAATACTTTTTCAATTGACGAAGTTATTTGGGACTTAACCACAGTTGGTTAAAGGCATAGGCTCCAGATTCTGGTAGACAGCAGTTAAGTTGTGGTTCTTCCTCTTAAAATTAGAGTGGCATTGGCAAATTACTTAGCTTCTCTGAGCCACAGCTTTTCTATAAAATGGTGTATGATTGTATATGTTTCATACTGTTGGGAAGAATAAATGCACATAAATAATTTATTAGCATGGTTTCATAAATATAGAAAGCTGCTAATGGATTCTATCATTAATATTATTAATTTTATTTAAAATGTATGTACAGACTAGTATTCTATTATTGTTAATAGTAAACTATTTAAATTGTGTCATGTTTATTTCGTAGACTAGCTATTGCAAAGAAAGTTGTCTGTGGCACTTGCATAGTTTCTTCTTGCTGTAATTATCATTCAGAGTTTTACCAAAAGGTATTATATTTACAGTCAGACACCAATGAGGAAGTTTTGTTTGTGCAGCATAATTTCCCCCTATATTCTCAGTGTTTACAAAGTAAAAAGTAAGGATTCATTGTTTAGTGACTGTGTTTATTGTATTTATTTGCATCAACAGGTGTCTTATAAAAATGTTCCTTTTCCAGCCAAAATTTTTATGTTTAGCTTAGTTTTAAATTCTGCAGAATACTCACATCACTTAAAATTAATACAAGGCATTTACTGAATCTAATTATATGTATATAATGCTTGTGGGCTAATATAGTCTTGTATATCTTATATATATCTAATATATATAATTAAGGACAAGGTAATGCATGCTTTTTAATTAAGAGAAAATTTAAAACAACTTTTCTTAACAATAAGAATGTCCTTGAATTTATGCTAGTTAGTGATATGTGTCTGTCTCATATAATAAAGTCTAGTAGCTAGACTGAACTGCTCCATGGCAAAGGATTGAATAGTATTGAATAGTGGTTCTCAGCCAGTGATTCCTGGTGGTCTGTGGGAATCACCTGAGGAGCTATAAAGAAATACCAATACCCAGATCTCCCCCAGAGATCTTGACTTAGTTGATCTAGTAACCCTACCTAGGTAGGCGACTCTGCTAAGTCTGGTTTACCACACTAGGCATGTGTGATGAAGTCATCTAAAAAGACGATTTAAAGAGGTTGAGACTTTTAGGAGACCAAATCTAAAGAGAAAACATGCTTAACGGAAACCAGGTCTTTAAGCCTTTTCTTTGATTGTCTAAGGATGATGCCCTTTTGCACTGTGGCCCAGTAAAGCTGCTTGGGTCCGATGGTTTCTACTGACATTCCTCCTCAGGAGGAGTGAGAGAAGTCTTGGCCTTTTCTAGCCGTACCCACCCTGTTTCCCAAGGGTTCTGGGGTAGGAGGATTTTCTTAGCATCACCAAGCAAGCATACCAAGTTTGAAAATGCAGCAGTCAATATTGTTATTCTTTTTTTAGAATTAGTCATGTTGTGTATTTTTGTGTTAAGGCATGGACTAAGATGCAGTGTTTTGATATATATCTAGACTAGTATATGTCCACCTAGTAAAGAAATCTTTAGAGAAAAATTAATCTGTGTAAAAGAAAATATACAGATACTAGATTTAATAAATTATGATACATAACTATATATGAAAGGTATTCATGATATATATTCATGGTATATAATAGTCATGATAACTATATACGAAAGGAAGAATGAACACATATGGTAGATATTTCCTGATGTAGTTTCTTTTTTCTTTCCTTTGATAAAACTTTTAAAAATAGCTTTATTGAGATAGAATTTACATACCATATAATTCGCTCAAAGTGTACAATTCAATGATTTTTAGTATATTCACAGAATTTTGTAATCATTACCACAATCTAATTTTAGAACATTTTATCCTCCCTAAATGAAATGCCATATTCCCCATCACCCCATCCCTAAGCAACTCCAGTCTGTTTTTCTATAGATTTGCCTTCTGTACATTTCACAAGTGATATCATACAATATGTAGTTCTTTGTGGCTGGCTTCTTTCCCTTAGTATGTTTTCAAGGTTTACCCATGTTGTAGCATGTATCAATAGTTCATTTTTTTATTGCTGAATAATATTTTATTGTATGAATGTACCACATTTGTTTATCCAGCCAATATGATGGATATTTGGATTACTTCTACTTTTTGACTATAATGGATATTGGTACTATGAACATTTATATACAAGTTTTTGGGTGGACACATGTTTTCACTTCTCTTGATATGAAATTACAAAGTTATATCGTAAATTTATGTGTAACTTTTTAAGAAACTACTTAACCATTTTCTTCAGTGGCTATACCATCTTACATTTCTACTAGCATTGCATGACAGTTCCAGTTTCTCCACATTCTTGCTAACATATGTTATGTCTGTCCTTTTTATTATAGCCATTGTAGTGGAGACCTAGTAATGTGCTATTGTGATTTTTAGTTATCTTCATAATGACTAAAGATATTGAGCATCTTTGCATGCACATATTGCCTATCTTTATATCTTCTTTTGAGAAAAGTCTCTTCAACTTCTTTGCCTACTTTCTCTTTGGTAGAATATTTTAATATGCTACTCATGTGTTATGTTTTGTCACTAATCATTTTTAAGATATTGTTTCCTATTTTTTTGTTAGTGATTTTTCAGTTGTTCTGATAGCCTATCAATTTGAATAAAATATTATTTTCTATTAATAACAATTTATGTTTCCTTAGGTCACACTGCAGAATCGGGTGGTATTGCCAAAAGCCAAGTTATCAATCTATGTGCAACCACCATTAGAATTGACTTGTGATCAGTTCACCTTTGAATTTATGAGTAAGTTTTTTGTTTTGGCTTAAAGTTTTCAAGGTGTAAGTTTTAAAAATTTTTTATTAGTGTGTATGTTTTATGGCTTTTACTTATTGTCTGAATAGTGAGACTGGGATCATTCAAAAAATCAATGATTGTGTTGTTTTGCTTATATTTTCCCTCTAAGCAACAAGCATGAATATTCAGTCAATGATTGTTGAGTTGAACTAATATTTTAGGATTACAGATTTTTAAGTGCTTTCTTTAACCGACTGGACCTGTAATTGTTTTTAAATACTAAAATTTGTAATACTTTCCTTATTAGTGTTTCCATTTATTGAATCAGTAATGTTTGAAGAAAGAATATTGGCTTTGGAGTTTGGTCTGGGTTTGAATTCTAACTCTGACACTCACTTGATGTATAACCTTGGAAACACTACTTTAGGAAACACTACTTTAGTAATCACTTGGAGCCTCAGTTATTTTAATCTGCAAAAAGGGGATAATGATATTTGTCTTACAGGGTTGTTTTGAGGAATTCATTAGAAAGTGAATATAAGGTATCTGTCATAATGCCTAAAATAGTAGACATGTCATAAAAGTTACTCTTAGTAAGATTTCTTGGTATAGAATCTCTCATCCTCAACCACTTATATTCAAGTTGTCATTGGTCCTGTTAAAATGATCTTTGGATTTTCTTTCAAGTCTTTGCTTACTGAACTTCTTCAGCCAAGGCGCCTATCTCTTATTCATGAAGTCGAGAACATATCTCTCTTTTTTTGCCTCTGTACAACCAACCCCTAGTACCTGTCAGTTAGTAGGAACTCAGTAAATCCTTATAGAATGAGTGAATAAATGACTGAATGAAGTAACCTTGTAAGTGATACCAGCCATTGGATTCTTGCTTAGTTTTCTAATTTTTATAATATTTCCAATTTTTCTTTTCTAAAATATATCCCGAAATTTATTTTTTCAGTCAAAAATCTCTTATGGCTTTCTAACATAGGTTGGAGATCAAATATGTTAACACAGAAGTGTATGCACAATCTGCTAGTTATCAGCGTTACTTACATCCATGTCCAGTCCCCCCATTTCCCCCTGCAATCTATGTCCCAGCCATGATAAAGTACTAAGCTATCTTGCTCTTTTGTGTACCTTTTTCTCTGTTCACGCTGTCTGCTAATCAGAGTAAAGAGGAGGAATGGTATATAGAATGCTGAATACTTTGTTCCTTGTTCTTGAATAAAGTTCTAGCTCTGATATTAGCTGTGTGACCTTAGGCAAGCTTCTTAATCTCTTTGTATTCTGGTTTCCTCATGCTTAAAAAGGGGGGGGGGGGTAATAATAGTATACCTACCTCATAGGTTTGTTGTGAAGATTCAATGACTTAATCCATATAAAATGCTTATGGCCTGGCATATAGTACCAAAATTTTAACTTTTGATAATAATAATTGTTCCAAATTACGTAATTTATGTTACTTTTACATTGCTTATAGCACCAGAGATGACTAGAACAGTAGCCATTTCTGTTTATCTGAAAAGAAGTTATATACCATCTGAATTGGAAGGAAATGCTGTTGTTTCTTATTCCAGACCAACAGGTAAACATATAGTTGTTCATATATTTATAAGCCTAACTATTCCTTTAAGTTATTGGTGGTATGAATTAAATGCTTGTGTGTTTAAGATGGGAATTAATTGTGAAATATGATTAAATGAGAAAATATTCTTTTCTACTGTTAAAATTTTATGTTCTAATTACTTTTATGTGTTACGAGTAACTACTCTGTCTTTTTTTTTTTTTTTTCTTTTGAGTCAGGATCTCACTCTGTTACCCAGGTTGGAGTGCAGTGGTATGATCATGTCTCACCATAGCCTCAACCTCCTGGGCTCAGGCGATCCTCCCGCCTCAGCCTCACGAGTAGCTGAGATTATAGCATGCACCACCACACCTGTCTAATTTTTTGATTTTTTTTGTAGAGATGAAGTCTCACTATGTTGCCCAGGCTGGTATTGAACTGCTGGGCTGCAGCAGTTCTCCTGCTTCAGCCTCCCAAAGTGCTGGGGTTATAGATATGAGCCACTGCACCTGGCTCTTAAGTCTATTTGTGATGTCTAAGTGATAAGTCCTTTTAGCTGCTTTCTGTATATAATGTTCAGTTCTCTCCTCATAGTTAATAGAAAATCTGGCATATTTTTATTTCCATCAGAAGAATGTTATCTAGTCAGACTTCTTTTATATGAACTAAAGACTAGTCTCAATTAATTACAAAGAGTATTATGGATAATTCTAAGATAAAGGCAGTATTCAGCATTTTAGACAGTGTTTTAGTGACTACAACTCTTTGTGGCTTACGTGTTAAAAGATTTAAGAACAAATATATTAAAACTTCGTATTTTTAAAGGAAACCATTAGATTTTAAAAGATTGTCTTTAACTGGATAAGATTTAATTATTGTTAATTCAACTTAGTTGAGTCAAATTTGATAGTTTTTTCCCCCTGTATAGTGAATTCTTCATGGTAGCAGTTTGATAATCAGTTAATTGATAGGTTTTTCTAAGCTTTTTGTTTTTTGAGTTGGAGTCATATTGATAGAAAATAAGAATTACTTGTCATTGCTTTAAAAAAAAAAACTTTAAACATAGTGTATCAGATAATAGGATTTTTAGCAACATTGTAGTTGTTTTTAAGCATTTCTATATTGTTTTATTAGTTTTGTAAGTTTAAAAAATGCTTCATTCTTCTTTATGCCCACTTTACTTATTTGAAAATATTTTTCATAACTGTAGGGTTTTTCCTTTGTCTAACAAATTTTCTGGCTTATTCACTGATGACTCTATATGCTCTGATATAATTTTATAATTAAAGTACCTTAAAAATGTTTCTTCACTTTATAAGTTATTTTGCTTTAAATTGTTTAAATAACGATTTTTATCCAGAAGTTACCATATTAGCCATTTACTATATTTTCAAAATTTGAGATTATATAAATATTTTTATGTTTAATGACTTTGAGAAAGCTGGCTTTAAAAGGAAATCAAACCTTGGATTTTATTTATGTATGTTATTCTCTTCAGTTGTGAAATGACTTTCCTTGTGTTTAATTGAAGGGTCATTTAAAGCATCTGTGGGGATCTTAAAATTTTTAATTTATATTTTAGGCAGATGTGTATTAAATTTATATTGTAACTTTGCTTCAGATAATTTATTGCATTCTTTCTCTCCCATCCCTTTATGCATTGCCTTTGTTGAATAGATCGAAATCCTGATGGTAAGTGTAAAGGTAATTTGGAAAAAAATGAATTTCAGAACTGAGATTTGGTTGATGAATTGGCTTTATACCATGAATGAAATTTTTTTGCAGACTGCTGTTTTAACTATAGAAACGTCTTTAGGATGATACAATATCTTGATCCTGCTATGGAGAGCGTAGTAGATGTTTCCACAGGGAGCTGTCATTAGTTGTTTCAGAGTCATGAGAAAGAATGAAGTTAGGAGTAAGAACAGAGTGACTTTTTTGAATAGCATCAAATGTCATTGACAACTTATTTCTGTATGTCATTGGTTTACCTGCATGCTCTGTTATTTTATTTTTCTTAAAATAAAGAGTAAGAAAAGAAAGAAGGTGTTTGTCACTGAATTTTAAATTTTCTGTCTTCCCACCTGCCCCAGCAGATCCATCTCTCTCTGATGAGAATGCTGTGTGTATTCACTCTGTGGGCCTATCCCTTGTCTTGCTTATTAGATTTTGTGGGGAAATGTCATTAAAGGTCTGACCCCTTGCACTTGCTTGGATCAGTGTTGTTATTCATTTTGTTTTCTCCAAATCCTTTGCTTATGACTCTGCTATAATACTGGTCATAATATGAATTTAATTAAGTTTGTTCCTTAGGGTCTCCTAGGAAATTTTGAGCTCTTTGAGGACTGGGATCAGGCACTTATCTTTGAATTGCACACTGTCAGGGTACATGGCAGGTCCTGAAAGTATTTTTAACTTAGATTAATTTTTCTCTTAGCTATAGACTCATTGTGGTAGTTTATTTTTATGAAAGATGCATTTTGGATAACAATATTAATTAGTAATAATTAAATAAGTATAATTAAAATGATTTTTTAAAAATGGCAATATTTACTCATACAGTTTTGATGATGCCAAGAACTTGAGTTACATAGCACATATCATCTTGATATCTGGCAGGTGGAAAATGTATTTATATGAGAAGTGTTTTAAAAGAAGTAAATACTTAGCTTGATATAAACTATACTTGTTAAATTAGAATTTGGGTCATTAAAAATAACCTGTTATTAGTAATGAATATTTACATTTTAACTCTCAAGATTGCATGTAACTGATAAGATTTCAACTAAATTATGTAAAATACAATTTTACTATTTAAATGATTAGTTTTAAGTTTTAAAAAGTCAGTTAAGGTTATTGTTGAAAGGAATTTATTCCCTCTTACTGATTCCAAATCATGAGAAAAAAAAAATCACAATTTATGGAAATTTTAGTGTTTCAATGCAATGCAAAAACTCGTTTTGATATATTTTAAAATTATAATTAAGCTTTAGGGAGTAGAAGTGAAATATTCAGAAATATTCAGCTGCACCTAGTAAGCAAGAAAACAATATGCTGCCACTTGTCTTACTTACACATAAGGCTTCATATTTCAAAGACTGATCCATTTTATTGTCTTGATCTGTTCAGGCTGTATTGCAGATAAGCAGTTCTGCTTTTATATGTGGAAAAAGAGAAGCAAATGAGGTTTTATGTTGTCCCATAAGGGTTAGTCTCCATTATTTCTGCATTAAAGTTACATGACACGGGCAGTGTAAAACATGACTGCAGATGAAGCACAGTATGTAGCCAGACATAACAGGAAGGGATCAAGGAAGTTCTGGCTACCAGACATTGCTACTGCTTTGGGGTTCCTTGTTTTCAATATGAAATTACTCTAGCAGTTCCCTGGAAAGAGATCTAAAGGCATTATATGGATGTGTATGGATGTGCAATATATAGATATAGTTATTCTATACACACACACACACACACACACACACACACACATACACACACACACACACACACACACACACACACACACACTATGTTCTTTTTTCTTTTTAGAAGCACATTTGTCTCCCAATTTGATACTGGGCTCTTGGGTGTGCCAGGTGTAATTAGAATTCTCTTTCTGGAAAATTTGTCCTGTAAGAAATAGTTTTGATGAGAATATTCTCTCTGAGTGTTAAATAATTTTGCGATTAATTGCACCATAGTAGTTGGGACTATCCATTTCCTTTAGTAGGTTTGGAAGGGAAATGTTTGAAGGAGAGGTGATTATGTTTGGTAAGGGGGAAAAAAAAACCCCTGCAGAACAAAGTCAGTCTCAATCTGATGAATTACTAGGCCTGCATTTGAGTAAAATAAGTGATGAAATTTTTTCTCTTAGCATAACACTCAGAGAGTTGAAAGCCAGATATAGAGACTGCTTCACTAACTACATAGAGAAAATATCGCTGATGGTAGGCAAAGTTAGGATCAATTAGGTTCTTTCAACTAAGCTGAAAGCTGTTCCACTAGCAACCCTGAAAAGTCTTTAAATACATGTAATTCTTTTTTTCTTTATTACACACGTATGCACCCATGTATATCTGTATGAGTCTTAGGCTTCAGATTCTTAGATACAGTTACAGTTTGAAGAATAATTGATAGCCAAATTGGTAGAATTACAGTTTAAAGAGTAATTGATAGTCACTTCAAGTTTTTTTAGTTTTTTCCTCCCATTTTTATTTTAATTCAAGTGGTACATGTTTGTTACATGGATATTGTGTATAGTGGGGATTGAGTCTCAGTTGGCCCATCCCCCAGGTAGTGAACATTGTTCCCAATAGGTAATTTCTGCTTTGAGTTTCTTTTTCCTTCCTTCCCTCCTTCCCGCCTTCCCTCCCTCCCTCCCTCTCTCCCTTTCTTTCTTTCTTTCTTTTAATTTTTTTTTATCAAAATCTCACTCTGTTGCCCAGGTTGTAGTGCGGTGGCGTGATCACGGCTCACCGCAGCCTTGACCTCCTGAGCTCAGGCAATACATCTGCCTCAGTCTTTCAAGTAGCTGAGACAATAGGCATGCATCGTTATGCCTAGCATATTGTTTAATTTTTTTGTAGAGGTGAGTCATCACTGTGTTGCCCAGCCTTGTCTTGAACTCTTGGGTTCAAGCTGTCTTCCTACCTCAGCCTCCCAAAGTTCTGGGATTATAGGTGTAAGCCACCATGCTCTGCATCAAGTTTCTTAAGTGTAAGTCCCAATAGAAATGTGCCTCAGATAAATCTCATGTCTATAAACTAGAGGCTGTATTTTAAAATGCTTGGATTTTAATTTGATAGTAAATATTACAAAACAGTGGCATTCTAATTTTTCTTTTAAAAGGATAGTTTCCGTAGTCTGGTTTCTAAAGGATCTCATACTCTTTTTTTCTCTTAATGGTAAAACTTTTCAAGCTGCCCTCAATTTAAAAAATGACTATAATCATTTTATTAAGTATGAATGTCATCATTTTTCAAAGTAATGTTTTCCAAATGTCCTGTGAAAGAGGCATATAAGTCCTGGAGAGAACAGATATTCTGGAGGGGTTCTACAAATCTTAGCAACTGCAGACCACTGCCCTAGTGTGTGATATTGTCATTAACTGACCTAACTGAACTGTCATTGAATTAAAATGTAGTTCCCTTCTTGGGTTTATTAGTGCTTGCAATCCATTTGTTTCGATTTCTGAAAACTTATATACTCCACCAGTTTCTTTAGTTCTGGGTTCTTAGTAATTTAGGGTAATAATCCTTAAATATATAGAGCGAGTAACATAAAGCCAATGTTGTTGATGTTTACTTTTTAAAAATTACTATAAATTCAGTCAGTAACTGATCCAAATGAAGCAGAGACCACAGTTTTAGTAATATCATTTTAGAAGATCGTGTACAATCAAATTTTTGTTTGAACAATTAGCTCAGACTTTGGTTGAAAAAATATATAAGACATCTTCTCTTTGTGTATATACAGAATTGCCAGAAGATGAAGCATTTTTTGTTGTTCTGTTCATTAAAAATGAAGAAGATAGGAACGGGTTTCAGTTTCCTTATACTTTCCAGACTATCTGTTAATTGAGGCTACAGTTTATTTATTGGAGAAGAAATTTGCTCAGAGGGGATATTTCCATAATTTGGGGATATATAGAATATATGGAAATTTCCTTGAAATTCGAAAAAGTAGTGGCTTGTAATTTTTGTGGTGATATTGATAGTTGTGCTTTGGGCAGTATCTTAGATTATGTTACCATAATATTTTGGGTCAAAACATTTTATCATTGTAAAGTACAAATACACATGCCTCTAAAAACCTCACAAAATGTCAGGAAATAATACCCTGGGACTTTTCTTGAGAGACACCAGTTATAATCTGCATCTAGGATTCCAGGAGAAGTGAATTTAACATCTGTTGGTTATGAGCAAAAAATGAGCTATGTAAAATTTGATGGATAATAGATTATATTGAAGAGAATGACAAATATGCTCCACATGCTCTGAAAAAGTATTTAATTGACCTCATATATCAGTATGCTTGCCATTGCTTATGATCTCTCAGTATCCCAGTGAATAAGTAATACTGAAAAGTGAACTCCCAGCTTGGATATGGAGTAAGCCATACAATTCCAATGGACATTAACAAAATATATTGCTAATTCCAGGGATCCTGCTTCAGTATCATGTCTCCAAACTTTAACACTGCTCTTATTTTTGCTATTTTAAAGCTGCTCACTGACTTTACTATAAAGAAATAAAGGAATTAGTGTGTGGATCCATCAAGTAGAGACAGAACATTCTGAGTTTTCCAGTTTTCTACAGTAGTATGCTAAGACATAGACTTCTGTATATCATCTTTCATCTTTACCAGTAAAAAATAGAACCCTAGAATAAAAGGAGAGAAAACTAAGGTTGTAGTATTGCTTTTCTAGATTTATAAGTAGAGAGCCTAATTTGCTTTGGTTTCAATTTCATTCTCTGTAAAAATATTCAAAGAAATGATTGTTTAAAAATTAAAAAATTCTGATATGAAACTCTTCATTGTCATTTATCATGTGTGATATTAAAAACATTTGATAATTGAATGACTATGAAAGTCTTTCAACGGGGAGACACCTCTTATCAACAAGGGTGCCTGAACGGAGCATATTTGTATACCAGACCCTTAACTGTACCCCACAATATCATTAAAAAAAATTGATTAAAAAAATAAAGTCTTTCAAAATGTTACTTAATGTGGTATGTAGTTAATTGGCTTGAGAAAAATTTAATTTGTATGGAAGGAATATTCTTAATACATAATGTAAAAAATGAACATAGACTTCAGTATAACTCAGTAGAACAAATCCTGTTTTCATGTTCATAATTTATTAAAAATTATTAGTATAATTTGAATCTTCTTTAAGTAAAAAAACCAAAAGATGTAAAGTGTTTTGGGGTAGAGAAAATTTTAGATATGGTCATATAGACTCTTTTTTTTTTTTTTTTTTTTTTTTTTGAGTTGGAGTCTCACTCTGTCCCCCAGACTGGAGTGCAGTGGCCGCTTCCGGCCACCGCAGCCTCAACCTGCTGGGCTCCAGCGATCCTTCCGCCTCAGCCTTCCAAGTAGCCGGAATTACAGGCATGCGCTACCACGCCCGGCTGATTTTTTTTTTTGATTTATTGTAGAGATGAGGTCTCGCTGCCCAGTGGGTCTCGAACCCGCGGGCTCAGTCAATCCACTCACCTCAGCCTCCCAAAGGCGCGGGATTACAAGCTGAGCCACCGAGCCCGGCTCATATAGACTCTTACTGATATAAACTTCATATTCTTTGTTCATTTTTGCTGATAGTCTGATAGGGTTAGAGCTTTGAAGGTCTTAGTAGGAGTTAATTAAGTAATTGAATATGAATTAGCTATAATGTTTTAAATATTATCCAAATGTGATCATTTAAAAAATATGATACTGTGATTAAAAACAGACCTCATGTCTCTGCTCTTTTTAAGATTTTATTTTTACCTTATGCTTTTTGAAAATAGTAAAAAACTGTGAATCATAATGCTTTACACTTATTTCAGTTATGCTAAATTAAATAGGCACATAAAAAACAAACCAAGATATTTTGCTACTCAAACTATTAATAGTGTATATATTTTTTTTTGCCAAATTATTTGTCAAATCTATGAATCTACATTTCTCTCTTTTATTTCAGGCATTCCTCGAGTTATCCAATGTAAATTTAGACTTCCCCTAAAATTAATCTGCCTGCCAGGTCAGCCTTCAAAAACTGCAAGCCACAAACTGACTATTGATACCAACAAACCTCCAGTCAGTCTCCTCAGTCTCTTCCCAGGTAGGACTTTAGAAGTAATGTGTCTGTAACATCGAAAATGCTAAGAATTTACAATGACATCCTTCACCAGCAGGTAATGATGGGATAATTATTAGATAATTTTAAAGTAAGAATATAAAAATGCCTCAAGGATTCTTTCCTGTTGTTTACCTGTTCAAAGGAGAATAGCTTATATCAACAAGAAAATGTGTACCCTTTAAGTTTGATTAAAATTATTATAATTATTATTTTGCTTCAGTATTCAGAAATAAAAACGTCAAATGTTTCTTTTTAGACTGTGGAATTTTTTGGTTTGGAATGTAAATATTTATTCACCTTTATTGTAGGTTTTTGGATATATTCCTCTTCTAAGTATATAAATATTTATTGTTCAATTTCATTGTAGGCTTTTGAATACGTACCTTTTAAAATTATATTATTATGCTCCTGAAACATACTCTCATAAGTAGGTGCTCTTTGTGGTTCTGCTGTCTATAGCAGCCGGATGGAGCAAATGTTAATTCTGTGGCTCTAGTTGTTTAGAGGGGTTTCATATTTAAGGCTTGAGTATTACCGGGAACATTTGGGGTAATCTGTGAAGGTGCAGCTTTCTCCAGGTGTCAGTTTTTCTTTCTGAGTAGCTTAGAAAATAGAGGCTTCGATTGAATAAATCATCTCTAGTAACCAAGGTTTTTACGTCTGTTAACTTTGTGTCACGTCTGTTAACTTTGTGTCACGTCTGTTAACTTTCTTGGTGGTGGGGTGAAATTATAGGAAAAAAATCTGGGGATTAAATCAACCCTTTTAAATTCTTCATTAAAAATCAGCATTGTTGGCTGAGATACATCATCACCCTTGTATTAGTGGATAGAATTTAGAATACAAACAATATTTTCCACAAGTTTTAGAAATTTATGGTAAGTCAACTTTTGTGTTGTTAACTACCTAAAGTGCTTACAATTTATTTTTCATTAATTTGAAGTGTTTAAAATTTTTATTTATATGTAACTCTGAAAAATATCTAATATTAAATGCTTCTATTTTTACATGTGAATGGAGTTTGGATATATGCATGTATTTATTGTTAGCAAATATTTTTTGTTTTTTGGGTTGTTTTTCCCATCCCTTCTCTTTTCTTTCCCTCTTCTTTTTTAGTCAATTTTCTTATAACAAACTTTTATTAAATTATGTAATAAGAAAAGCTTGACTAACTCATCCACTTTCCTCTTGATTTGGGGTTCAGTTGTTTTGATGTCAGAGGGTGTCTTATGCTCATCAGCTTGTATTTGTTTTTTACTCTCTTAGAAATGGGACTCAATGACAAATTTTTAAAAATTTCCCCCCAAATCCAATATATGTGATATGGAGTGTTGTTTTTTTTTTTCCTTAAATTCCTGGATTTATGTTCCTATTGAAGATATTGGAATAATGTACTTGCTTAAAATAATTATCACTTCACTCTTATAAAAGTATGTCTTTTGTATGTTAATGTCAGATAAAATTGCTGCTGCAGATATTTCTGGGTCTATTTTTTTTTTTAACTGAAAGAAGTAAAATTAATGAGCTTCATAGAGAGGAAATAAAAAACTTTGAATCTACGTATCTTCTTATTTGTTTATTCCAGTTCTCTTTATATGAGCAAATGTATGTTTAAATTAAATTTAGCTTTGCTTATTACAAAATAAATGTAAAAATTAGAAAACATGGATAGCCAGAAGGAAAAAAAATGAAAGTTACTAGTAATCCAGCAATTCCTACTTATATTTCATTATATTTTTCTAATTTTTAAAAAATATGTTTCTACTATATCTGGAGAAGAAGTAGGAAATTTCTCAGGTGATTCTAATGTGAGTGGTTCACGGACCATGATTTGAGAAACTCTGCCTCTACAGGGAAGGACCATAGTCTTTTCTCATGTCTTTCGTGTAGTAGATCCTCAGTGAGTATTTGCTGAATGAATTTACCCCAGAGCTCTTAAAAAAATATATATATATATAATATATATTTATGTGTCTTTGTATAATATAAAATATATTTATTTGCGTATATATGTATATTTCTATGCGTTTATTCCCAGAACAGATTTTACTTTATATTTTTTGAGACATCTTTATATATCATTAGTTTTCCTTGTTATATGACTTTTTATAATTTATATATTTTATATAATTTATATATTTATATAAGCTTTATATAATTTATATATTTATTTATCTTATATGTAGAGAAGTACAGAAATGGGCAGAAGAAGCTGTTGTAGTATTCTGTCATCAAAGAACTAGCTTTTTTCTTTCTTTGCAATCTGCCCTCTCTATTATGTTGGCTTGTTTCATGGCAATAAAGTATTTGCTTCAGCTTCAGGCATCACATTTAACCACAAGGCAGGAGGTAGGGGGAAGAAATATAGTAATGATGACAACTTTTTATCAGAAAAGCAAGTTTCCAAAAGATTCCTGGGAAATCTAATTTTGTCACATGGTCTTCACTAGCAATGTAGAAGGCCGAGAACTAATTTGTAAATGGGCTAAGGAAAAGGAGTTTGCGAAGAGATGTTAAATTGCCTTACCATTAGTGTTATGTCATAATCTTATTAGCTTTATACAAAAATTTTACTTTAGTATAATAACAGATAGCATGTCATTTGGTAACAGTTTTTTATGTTACTCAAATATATGCTTTGCTTGTCAATAAATTTATGATGTCATATACATACAGTTTTTTATATTTATCTCTTTTTCTTAGGAGAAATTCCTTGAAGATAAATTATTGAGTTAATGGGTATACACACTTGAAAACAATTCAGATGCTAAATTGCCTTCCAGGAAAATTGTATCAGGTTATACTCTAACATCAAGGTTTATACCCATGTTAGCAGCTAAATCTGCTAAATCTTTAAAAAATTTTGACATTGTTAGGTGAAAAATGACATCTCATTTTTATTTTCATTTCTAAATTGTTTGTTAGCTAGACTTTTTGCTATTTTTATATACCTCTTGTATTCCTTCTTTTAATTTCTCCCTTTGAGGTTTTTTCTTTTTAGATAGTAAAATTTATTAATTGCTTTCTTCATAGTTTCAGGTTTTCATGTTATGCTTAGGATGATCTTCTGTATTCTAAGATTATAAAATATTTATTTATATTTTCTTCTGGTATATTTTAATGCATTCTTTTATTCAAACATAGCTTCAGTGAATATTTTTGTGTTTTATAAAAAGCTTCATTGATATATAATTTATGTACAATAAATTACATGTTTGAAGTATATAATTTTGTTAAGTTTTGATTTTTGCATATACCTGTGGAACTATTCTACAGTCAGGGGACTAAACATATTTATCACCTTCCCCTCCAAAAATGTCCTATTCGTAATCCTTTATCCTACATCCTCAAGCAACCACTGATCTGCTTTCTGTCACTGTAGATTAGTTTGCACTTTCTAGAATTTGATACAATGGAATTATGTAGTATATGTTCTTTTTTTGTTTACCTTCTTTTTCTCCTCTATTCAATATGTGATTTGCAAATAATTTCTCCCAGTCTGTAGCATGTATTTTCATTTTCTTAACAAAATCTTAATTTTGATAAACTGTGATTTATTAATTGTTTTAATGGATCATAATTTCACTGCTATATCGAAGAATTCGTTGCCTAATCCAAGGTTGCAAGGTTTCCCTCTTTTTTTTTCCTAAAAGTTTTCTAGTCTTACATTTTTACATTTAAGTCTCATCCCCATTTTGTGTTGGTATTTATATACTGTGTGAGGTATGTCTATGCTTACCAATATTGCTATACACCAACTTTATTCTTCTTCAAGTTGTTTTGGATAATCTAAGTCCTTTGCATTTTCTATGAATCCTAGAGTCAGCTTTTAACTTTTTTGAAAAAAATAAGACTGTATTTATATGGCTGCAATTCTACTTTTTCATTTTGTTCCATTGATCTCTTTGTCTATGCTTACCAATATTGCTATACACCAACTTTATTCTTCTTCAAGTTGTTTTGGATAATCTAAGTCCTTTGCATTTTCTATGAATCCTAGAGTCAGCTTTTAAGTTTTTACCAAAAAAAAAAAAAAAAAAAGGAAACCTGCTGGAATTTTAATTGGGTTGGGATTACATTGATTCTATAGATCAAATTTGGAAAGAATTCACATTTTAACAAAATTGAACATGGTATACTTTACTTATTCTAGTTTTTAAAGATGAAAATGCAGACCATCATTTATTTAGGGCTTATTTTGTTTGTCTCTGTGAGGTTTTGTAGCTTTCAATGTATAGATCTCACAAATCTTTTGTCAGATCTATCCCTAACTATTTCATATATTTTGATGCTATTGCAAATTAGCAATCTTGCCAACCTCTGATTTTTTTTTTTTTTTTTTTTTTTTAGTTTTTAATGATGGTCAATCTGACTGGTGTGAGATAGTTTCTTACTGTGGTTTTGATTTGTATTTCTCTGATGATTAGTGGTGTTGAACATTTTTCATGTTTTTTGGCCCCTTATATGTCTTCCTTTGAGAAGTGTTTGTTCGTGTCCTTTGTCCACTATTTATTGGGGCAATTTGTTTTTTTCCTTGTTGCTTGTCGATTCATTTTCATTCCTTATAAATTCTGGCCTTTGTTGGATGCATAGCTTGCAAATATTGTCTCCCATTCTATGGGTTGTCTCTTTACTCGGTTGATACTTTATTTTGCTGTGCAGAAGCTTTTAACTTGATGAGGTTCCATTTGTTAATTTTAGTTTTTGCTGCCTTTGCTTTTGAGGGCTTGGTCATGAATTTGTTTCTTAAGTCAGTGTCCAGGAGAATGTTTTCTAGGTTTTCTTCTAAGAATTTTATAGGTAGGGGTCTGCCTTCATTCTTCTGCTTATGGTTAGCCAGTTTTCCCAGCACTATTTGTTGAATAGAGTGTCCTTTCTCCAGTGTTTGCTTTTGTCATCTTTGTCAAAGATGAGTTGGTTGTAGGTCAGTGGCTTTATTTCTGTGTTCTCTGTTCTGTTCCATTAGTCTGTGTGTCCATGTT